CAAGGGAAATCAGGGACAGTGTTAAAGCCAAAGAGGAAGCATATAAATTGGCCAGAAAAAGCAGCAAACCTGAGGGCTGGGAGAAATTTAAATTCAGTAGAGGAGGACAAAAGGTTTAATTTAGAAGGGGAAAATAGAATATGAAAGTAAGCTTGTGGAAAACATAAACACTGACTGCAAAAGCTTCTATAGATATGTAAAGAGAAAAAGACTGGTGAAGACAAATGTAGGTCCCTTGAATTTAGAATCAGGTAAATTCAAAGTGTAAAACAAGCCAGTTGAACAAATGCTTTGGATATGCCTTCACTAAGGAGGGCAAAATAACATTCCAGAAATGCTAGGGGGCAAGAGGTCAAGCATGAAGGAGGACCTGAAGGAAATCCTTATTAGTCAGGAAACAATATCGAGGAAATTGATGGGATTAAAACATGATAAGTCCCCAGGGCCTGATGCTCTGCGTCCCGGAGTACTTAATGAAGTGGCCCTAGAAATAGCAGATGCATTGGTGATCATTTTCCACCATTTTGTAGACTCTGGAAGAGTTCCAATGGACTGGAAGGTAGCTAAAGTAACCCCACTCTTTAAAAAAGGAAGGAGAGAGAAAATAGGGAATTATAGGCTGATTAGCCTGAAATCGGTGGTGGGCAAAATGCCGGAGTCAATCATTAAAGATGTAATAACTGAGCGTTTGGGAAGCAGTGACAGAATTGGTTCTAGTCAGCATGGATTCACTAAAGGAAAATCATGCTTGATAAATCTTCTGGAATTTTTTTGAGGATGTGACCAGTAGAGTGAACAAGGGTGAATGAGTAAATGTTGTGTATCTGGACTTTCAAAAGGTTTTTGACAAGCTTCCACACTAGAGATTAGTAAGGAAAATTAAACCTCAAGGTATCGGAAGTAATGTATTGACATGGATAGAGAACTGGTTGGCAGACAGGAAGCAGAGAGTTGGAATAAATGAGTCCTTTTCAGAGTGACAGGCAGTGATGAGTGGGGTGCCGTACGGTTCAGTGCTGGGACCGCGGATGTTCACAATATACATTAATGATTTGGATGAAGGAATTGAATGTAATATCTCCAAACTTGCAGATGACACTAAGCTGGGTGGCAGTGTGTGCTGTGAGGAGGATGCTAAGAGGCTGCAGGGTGACTTGTACTGACTGGCTGAGTGGGAAAATACTTGTCAAATGCAATATAATGTGGATAAATGTGAGGTTATCCACCTCAGTGGCAAAAACAGGAAGGCAGATTATTATCTAAATGGTGGTAGTTTAGGAAAAGGTAAGGTGCAACGAGACCTGGCTGTCATGGTGGAACAGTTGCTGAAGGCTGGCACGCAGGTGCAGCAGGCAGTGAGAAAGCTAATGGCATGCCAGCCTTCATAGTGACGGGATTTGAGTATCAGAGTCGGGACGTCTTGCTGCAGTTATACAGGGCCTTGGTGAGGCCACAAATTGAGTATTGCGTGCAGTTTTGGCCTCATAGTCTGAGGAAGGACATTCTTGTTACTGAGAGAGTCCAGCGAAGGTTCACCAGACTGATTCCCGGGATGGCAGGATTGACATATGAAGAAAGACTGGATTGACTGGGCTTGAATTCACTGGAATTTAGAAGCATGAGGGGGCAATCTCATAGAAACATAAAATCCTGATGGGACTGGACAGGTTCGATGCAGGAATAATGTTCTCGATGTTGGGGAAGTCCATAACTAGGGGTCCCAGTCTATGAATAAGGGGTAAACCATTCAGGACTGAGATGAGGAAGAACTTCTCACTCAGAATTGTGAACCTGTGGAATTCTCTCCCATAGGAAGGTGTTGGGGCCAGTTTGTTAGATATATTCAAAAGGGAGCTGGAGGTGGCCATTGTGGCTAAAGGGATCAGCGGGTATGGGGACACGGCAGGAATGGGATACTGAGACTGCATGATCAGCCATGATCATATTAAATGGAGGTGCCGGCTCGAACGGCCGAAAGGCCTACTCCTGCGCCTATTTTCTATGTTGTCCCACTTTCCACCACTAGGCCCACAGCCTTGAATGTTATGACATGAGAAGTGCTTGTCCAAGTTTGTTTTAAAGGTTGTGAGGTTACTACCCTCCGAGGCAGTGCGATGCAGACCCCTACCATCCTCTGGGTGAAAGTTTCTTTCTTCAAGTCTCCTATAAACTTCCTGCCTTTCTCCTTAAAAATGTTCCCCCTTATTATTGACCCTTCCTAGGGGAACAGCTACTTTCTATTCACTGCGTCCATGCCCCTCATCATTATATACACCTCTATCAGGGTCCCCCCTCAACCTTCTCTACTCCAAAGAAAATAAGCCAACTTATGTAGCCTCTCTTTGTAGCTCCATTCCACGTAACATCCTGGTGAATCTCCTCTGCACCTCCAGCAGTGCAATCAATTCCTTCCTATAGGGTGCTGACCAGAACTGCACACAGTACTCCAGTTGTGGCCTAACCGAAATCCTGTACAGCTCGAACATAAACCCATGCTCTTAGAATCTATGTCTTGACTTATCACAGATCATATTTATCCCTACAGTATGGAAACAGGCCCTTCGGCCCAACAAGTCCACACTGAACTTTAGAGCATCCAACCCAGACCCATCCCCCTATAACCCACCTAACCTACACATCCCTGAACACTGCGGGCAACCCAGCATGGCCAATCCACCTAGCCTGCACATCTTTGGACTGTCAGAGGAAACTGGAGCACCTGGAGGAAACCCACGCAGACACTGGGAGAATGTGCAAACTTCACACAGGCAGTCGCCTGAGGCTGGAATCGAACCTTGGTCCCTGGCGCTGTGAGGCAGCAGTGCTAACCACTGAGGCACTGTGCTGCCCCAATAAAGGCAAATGTCCTTATTGCCTTCTTAATTACCCTATTAACCTGCTCTGCCACCTTCAAGGATCTGTGCTCAAGCACCCCAAGATCCCTCTGTTTCTTATGAGTTTCCTGCAGTTCTTTGTGTATGCCCTTGTCTTGTCACTTATTTTAAAGTGCAACACCACACACAAATCAGGGTTAAATTCTATCTGCCACTGATCTGACTAAACTGTCTATATCCTCCCAAAACTCAAGACCTTCTACCTCGTTGTCAACCACCTGGTCAATTTTTACATAATCTGCAAACTTACTTATCATCTCCTCCGACATTTTCATTTACATCATTTACATATATATAATCACAAATCAAGAAGGGACCCAGCCCTAATCCCTTGGTACATCACTAGACACTGGCCTCCAGTCACATAAACAGCCTTCTACCAACACCCTCTCTCTCCTGACACTTAAGCCAGTTTTGGAACTAACTTGCTAAGTTACCCTGGATCCCAGATGCTTTTACCTTCTTTATCAGTCTCCCATGTGGAACCTTGTTGAAAATCTTAACTGGAATCTATATTAAATGTTATCAACAGCACTACCCTCATTTACATACTTGGTCACCTCATCAAAAAGTTCAACTACATTTGTTCAGCATGACCTCTTCTGACAAAACCATGCTGCCTACCCCTGATCAAACCTTGCTCTCTAACTGGAGATTAATCTTTCTTCTTCAGAATTTTCTCCATAAGTTTCCCTATCGTTGATGTGACACGGGCTCATGCGTACTTCACTGGTCTATTGCTATACTATTCTTGAAAGGTGAATTAGCTGTCTTCCAGTCCTCAGGCACTTCTCCCATGGCCAAAGAGGAAGTAAAAAATTGGGTCAGGGCCCTGTGATTTCCTCCTTCAGAAAATAATTTCAAAGAATGTAAATTCATGTTTATGTAGGTTTTTACCATAAATCCTATACAGCAATGAATATCCACCACTTCTTTATCAAAAGTATTTCCAGCACTTATCTGCCCCTTTTATTGGTGTTGGCATGGGCTCATATAATATCCTAAACTGTTTACCACAACATAGAGAAATAGAGGAGAAATTAAAGAAGACAATTTAAAGCATCAACAAACAATCAAAATTATCAGAACCTTTAAAGGTAGTGTGTAAAGTACGATAGCAAAGACATTGAGAAGAGAATTCCAAAGTGCTGAGGTAACGGTTCTACTATTGTTGATTGAGATGTGGGCAGAAAGTGACAAAGTAAACCAGAGTCAGAAATATGGAATCCTGCACATTGTCCCTACAAAACACTTGGCTGAAGACTCAAATGCCCTTATCCCAATACACAACATATCCCATTCTCCTGTCACACTTGTGGTTAGTGAACAACATTGGTTTCCAACATGGAAAGAGCCCAATTTTAGTTTTCTCACCACTATTTTCAAATACATCCATGGCTTTGCTCCCTTTATTTCCAAAAATTCTTCAAACATATGAGTCTCTGAGGTCTGTATACCTATACATCTCCAATTCTCACTACTTGCACACTCTCAATTTTCATCAGTCATACCTTCAATTAGCTGAGCCCTAACCTCCCAAAAAGTCTTTGTCTTTCCCTTTCTTTAAGATCCCCTCCAATCTTCCACTAGGACAAAGATTTTCTTCAATTGTCTAAATGTATCAATGTACACCTTGGTGCAAAATTTTATGCGATAACACTTTCAATTTAGTGCACTGGGATTACATTGGAGGAGTTATTCAAATTTAAAATGTTTTCAATGTTTCAATTGGAATATTTTTCATCGGAAGCCTTCTGGATAGCTTATCTAAATTGGAACTCAGGAGGATTGTAAAATAGGCATTCAAATAGAATGAGTACTGATGAGATTTAAAGCGTGTAAGTAAGAAAGGTTAAATAATATTGATGGCTTTGTTTTTAGGGCTAAGGCGAGTTGAGTCAAAAAGAGAAGAAATACGTAAGTGTACCTACTTGATCATGGAGTCCTTTGGCCATCTGAAGTCTGGAGCTATATAAATGCAAGCTTAAAGTTGAAGCCTTTAAAGTCCAGCATCACCCACATGGTGTCACTCGTGAGCTGGTCTGAACAAGTAAGTGTCATCGTTCGGCAGTATATCGACATAGCATAACAATCCCACAGCTCGATTAACGAACTATGTGAATTCCCAACGACAGAAAATACATTGCTGTAAGAATTCATTACCTGGTAGGTGTTCAATGCAGTGTACTTTTAATGTACAAAGAGCGCAATGTTGATTCTAATCCGGCCAAGAGGAATAGTACAGCACACTTTGTTAAGAGACCAATCCCCCAACCGATTACCCTAAAATATTGCATGGGCAAAGTAACCAGATCAATTGCACAGCTAAAGTGTTGCAGTACAGCTTTAAATCGACGTTGGCTGGGTGTGTTTTCGGTGTGTGACCATTAAGAAGCAACGACATCTCAGCCCTTCATCAGCTCACATTCCTCACATTCCACATTTCTGATGTCACGAGGCGCAGATCTTTTTTTTCCAAACCCACAAACTGTGACCATGTTATTTAATCGAAAATAGTCTCGGTTGCAAGGGGACGACTAGGAAAAAGAAAGGAGGGAGATTAAAAAAAAACAACTTGGCGATCACAAAGGCTCTCGGACCGCTGGCAGCTGCTGAAGAGTTCAGAATAACAAACAAGAAAGTGGGCAGAAAGAAAGTTTCACCAAACAAAAGTAGTTCTTGAGCGGATGAGGTAGGGCTCTCCGTGTAACTTCAAACACTTCTGGTGAGCAGACGGACCCCGGTCCCGAGGTCCTTTAGACGAGTGGATCCTTTATCCAGAAAAGGATTTTGTGCTAGTCTCTGCTTGTGGAAACTTTTTTTTCCCCCCTCCCCAAACAAGAAAGGAAGAAACACGTTGGAAAGTTTGAAGGGACGCGTGCAGTTTGTGGTTTTAATGGACTGATCAGACACAATAAAGACATGTAAACAGGTAAGGGAACTGGAGATTCCTAAGTCCAAGAGCTTGCCTATTTGATTGACTGTAGAAAGATAGATATACCAGAGAGAGAGAGAAACATAGCCTTTTGATCCAAGATTTCTACTCGTCCTTGAGTGGTTTGTAGGAGTAAGTCAGACATGCCTATTAAAGGGAGGTTTGTCTGCCTTACTCTCCGGCTCAAATGCCAGCATTCCTCGACAGCCCCCTTTTTTTTCCAACCGCCTTGGTGGTGAGGGGAATGTTCAAGCCAAGGTATGACAGCTTTTATTTGGTTAGATTCAACTCTTCATAATACAGTACCTGTAACAGAAATCTATGGCCCGCCCTCCAAGGAGGCTAACTTCAGCCTGTACTTTGTGGCAGTATATTTAAAGAGATCGTCTCGCGTTTCGGTGGTTAGGCTAGCTAATGAAATAATTGTGAAAATGCCATCTCTGCCGAAATACCATACTTAAAAGATGCTTTACTGGAATAAACACTTTGTAAAAGTTTCCAAGCTGTAATGTAAGCTGATAGATGAAGGCGATGACTCTTTGTGCAGGAGACAAGGGTTAATTTCTTTTACTTAATTACAAGGAATTGATCCGCTTGATGAGTTCAGATGATTTCTCAAACCATGAAAGCAAAATTTGAAATAAGAATATGATTTTTAGGTGCATTACCTGAATTTTGATGTTGGATTGTTGCTTAAACTTGTCAAAATATGGCTTTTTGTTCCAAGTTGGCTTCTGCATTGTTACAATTTTGTTTTCTGATAGAAGTACTCTATTGGAAACAAAAGATAGTGTTGACTTTGAGAAATCGGTTCACTTAGTGAATGTATCTTATAATAGAATTTGCAGTTTTACAATTTAATATTAACACTTCCATAAAAAATTGGAATATTTGTATAAAGTTTTGAATGAAGCCTCTAACTATATTTTCATATTTGTTAAATTTTACATGTATTCAATGTGCCTCTTCGAGCAGACTAAAGTTGACAACATTTAGTCACAGCAGTGTAAACAATCTGATCTGAATTCCCATTTTGCAGCATATGACCTATAGGTATGCTGGAGTTCAAATTCAGGGGAAATCTGTGGCGTAAACACCAGACGAAATTAACCTTCCATTAATGTTGTCACATTTTTTTCAAGAAGATCCAGCAGTTTAAGGAATCCTCGACTTGCACTATGGTAATTCTGTTATGAAAAGCAATAGGAATTTTGGACTGAAGCAATAAGATCAGGAATAATGGACAATCTGATTATTGTTTATATATTGGAATTATGTTTGTTACAGAAGCGTGGAGATAACACTATCTTAAAGTAAACCTGTTATGATATCAGGTTATGTTTACCACATTATTGGATGACCTTAGTTTTGACTAATGTTCACTGTTCAAAACCAGAACCCTATATCTTCAGCTCTTCTTGGCTTTCGTGTAAAGTCTAAGGGATCCAAAACATTTGACAGAAATATATTACTGTAAGTTGGCTGCATTACAACGGTGATTACACTGCAAATGTACTTTATTGCTGTAAATCACTGAGATGTCTACTGCGCATGGAAAGCACAATATCATTGCATGTCATTCTTTTTATTTTGAAAATATGAATGTTCAATGTAATCCTTTTTAACCAATTTGAATGTATAAATATTTCCTTATTTTCAGATTTTTATTTAACGTATTTTCACCTAATCTCATGCCTGCAACTGAAATTGTATACAAAGTCAGTTTGTAGCCCATCACTAATACAGCTGCCAGTCGGCATTAGAGACCACCCAGATGTGAGTCCCTAGTCATGCTGTGTCTCTCTGTTACTTTCTCGTTGCTGAGTCAAAATCCCAATGCTCCCTCCTTAACAACACTGTGGGCATACCTACACCATATGGACTGCAGTGGATTAACAAGGCAGCTCACTGCCACCTGCTCGTGGACTATTGATGAGGTAATAAATGCTGGCCTTGCCAGGCTGCATCCTGTGAATGGATATTTTAAAATAAAAGTTGCACTCAGCTACAGTCTCCTTTTGATGGGATTTCAGGGTGATGCTGTGTCTACCTGTTGAGCAGTTGCAAAAAATCCCATGGTACAGTTCAAAGAAGATCTTATTTTCAAAGTGTCTGCTAGATTTCCGACATTACAAAAATGATTAAACTTTGAGAAGCATGTAATTGACATTGCAGAGTTTTGGGATGTTCTAAGGTCGTGAAAGGCATGATAAAAATGAAAATAAAAGCAATATACTGTGGATGCTGGAGATCGGAACTAATAAAAAAATGTGCTGGAGAAAGTCAGCAAGCCTAGCAGCATCTGTGGAGTGAGAAAGAGTCAACAATTTAAGCCCCATGGCTTTTCTTCCGAACTCTTCTGCCCTGAAGAGTCATATTGTGCTCAAATTGTTAACTCTGTTTCTCTCTCCACAGGTGCTGCCAGGCCTGCTAAGTTTCTCCAGGACTTTCTGTTGATTTAAAAATGCAAGTTCTTCAGGTGGTGTTAACTGGTTCTACATGTATTACTGAATTCTAGATGTCTTGATAAGGTGTTGGCAGGTCTTTTTAAATTGTCGCATGGTGGTGTTCTTCCAGTGAAGGCAGCCCTGTCCAAAGTGCCTAATCACAATTTGAATCTTATTTGATTTTATTTAGAACAATTGAATACGGTTTTGAGATCTATTGACACCTCAGTAAAATGCCAATGAACTTTTCTGAAATTATATTGACGTGCGCATTTGTTTTGTGTGCATCAGGTGTGATGCCCTTCAACAACAACTGTTTAAAAAAAATGAACTTGGATTTGCACGGCAACTTTCATGATCTGTGCACCTCAAACTGCTTTAAAATGAACAAAGTACTTTTAAAGTGCAATCACAGTTGCAATGTAGTGAACCTAGCAGGGCACTTTGCATCCAGCGATCTCCCACAAAGAACAAATGTGATAAGACGCATGTAAAAATGGTAGTAGAAATGAGCCAAAACTCAAAATAAAATTTCTTCTCCCTGCACCCTACAATCTTTTGAGACCCTCAATTCTCTAATATACTAATTCTTGCCTTTTTTGAGAATTTCTGATTCGAATTGATTTTTGGTAACTATGCCTTTGATTGAAAAGCCCTAAACTCTGGACTTCAATCCAAAGCCTGTTTTTAAGTCATTCCTGCTTTCAATTGTTGGCAGAAATTTGGCTTTACGTTTCCAATATTTTTATTTGTTTGTGCTCGATTTGAATCGAGACTGACAGCACTTTCTATGTTGATGAAAGAAGGTGGCATGTTTGCATTGCCCAGGTGTGGGCAAAAGGGGTGCTGCCAGCCTTTGTAAATTACTTGTCTAAATGTTTGAGTAAACAGAAAACTATTTCATGTGCTGGTTTCCCATATCCACCATAGTCAATTTAAATATTCTGATGAAAATTTTAGTGCAGAATAATATCATCGACATTGCCTTTTGTTTTGAATGCAGCCATTGCTTTGCAAGCTGGATTTTCAAGGTGATTGTGGACTGCAGCGTCTATCTTGGCTGTGTTGTGAAATTGTGTAGATGCTGACACAATTTAAGACTCTGTTTTCACGTTGTAATTGCCTCACATAGGTCAGTTCTAGGGAATGATTGGCACAAAAGTCAAATGATAGTAATTCACTCTATAGTAATTCACACTGAATCACAGAGTGAGGAAGTTAATTTTTATTTTAAAAAAACCTCTCTTTCTAAACCCTTTTGGGATTTTGCATATGATTAGTAGGCACTTTTTTTTCACAACTTCAGTGCACATGCCTATTCATTTTCTGTATGTAGTGATTGACTGAGCGCCTACACTTGCCTGTGAATTTTGAAATTTATTTGTTTTCATGGGAAAGCAGAGGTCCCTTTTGGCTCTGTTGACAACCTATTTGTTTTAGCAGCACTATTTAACTTTCAGGTGGCCAGTTACATTTACAAGTGATGTTTATTGCAACTGATTTTGCTGTTTTAGTTGCATGCAAGTAAATCCTGTTTAGCAATTTAAGATCCAAACCAATTCCATTCCATTCTTTTGAAATGTCAGGATTACAATTTTATTTTGTTACTTGTATTAAAATGAGCATTAATGTATTCATTTCAAAACCAATTGTTGCTGATTCACTATATTAAACTGACTGTGCAAAATAAAACCATTGTTTGAAATTACACTCCAGAACAATGTAATAAAAAAAACAAACTTGCCTTTCTGCGAAATAATCATGCACAAAAATAAAGTATGCAGACTATTTAATTACTAAATTTGGAACCAATTTAGACTTATTTTTCAAATTTTTACAGTAACAATGGATTTAATGTATGAATTGTAAAACTTATGAAATTACGGTATTCTTTCTCCATTATTAGGCAGTTTAAGATTGAGTGCAAGTTTTTTGTAGATTTATTTTCTTTACTGTAATTGCCTCTGTTCTGCTTCTGCCAGCAATATTACCAAAAGTGATGGTTCAGTAGTTGGTCAATCACCTGATCAACTGATCTCCAGAATGCCCATGTAGAACTCTGGATGGCAGACCCATCACATGCGGAAGAAAAGTGGTCAACGAGTTCTTTCTTTATATCATCTGATGTTGTCCTAGAAGAATGACTGAATGAAGTATGTACTCATCCTGTTGGCAGTCTATGCTATATTCACCAAAGCAGATTGCTGATTTGAAATTAATACAGTGTCTGCTTGTTTTAACAGTTATAAAAACCAGTCAGTGCTACACAGAGCCCGATGCTTGTTTTCACCACTACAAGGGTACCTTCAACAAGGCTGGTCCTGTTATTAATTTTCTAATCTCTGCCTTTAAGGGACCAACACTCACTTTAGCTGCTTTTTCCTTTCTTTATGTAATTGAAGCTTTTGTGGTCAGTTTTTATATTTCTTGTGGTTTTCTCTCGTACTCTAATTTCTCCATCTCAATTTTTAGTCATCCTTTGCAGGTTTCTAAAATTTTTCCAGTCTTCTGAGCCATGCTAACCTTTGCAACATCATGCATCGTTTCTGT